GAAGGCACACAAGATTTCATAACACTCTGTTAGTACTAACTTCCATTTGAGTAATATGAGGCGCTGGCTGCATCACATACTGGGGTAGCCAGGGATTCCCGGGCAATGAATAGCTCTGCATAGTCTGAGCACCGTAGTGTCGACCGTACTGTGTTAAAGCTGCGGGAAGCATGTGCTGTGCTGTCACTCCATTCTGTGACATGCCGCTTGGGTCGTAGCTTACTGCAGCTGCCTGATATAAGTCAAACACACACAACTAAACAATACTGAAGTTTCCTGTGTACTACATTATTGATGTCATTAGTGCACATGTTAATTTGATCATGGAACATTATTTTGATATATCACAAATAGAAATACAATGCATAAATCATAATAACCTGTGAATGGAATAAAGTAGTTGTAATTGGTCAGTCATGCACTTTCCTTATAAATGCACTGCTAGACAACATTAATCTAAACCACTAACATACAACTTGTATTTTCATTTTCAAAAACCTCTGCCATCCTTTTTCACACCATCACCCTTATCCTCAGTTGGCACTTTTATATTTAAAACACTGATGTGCCAATATCAACAACACTTGTAACAAATATTTATTTACTTACTTACAACAAATATTTATTTACTCACTCTATGGTGAAGGATATTCTTCGAAAAGTTACTTGGCTTGTTCAAAGAACAGCCCACATTTTTTATGGAACCAGAAGGTTCATCACAGTGTTCATAAAAGCCCACCACTGGACTCTATGCTAAGCCAGTTACATCCACTTTCCTCCATTGATTCCTATTGCCTTAAGGTCTATCTTAATGTTGTCCTCCCACCTACGCCAAGGTCTTCTCAATGGTATTCTCCCTTCAGGCCTTCCAACCAATACCTTGTAGACACTCCTCCCCTCCCCCATAAACACTTCATGTCCTGTCCACCTCATCCCTTCCTCGGTTTATTCACCCTAAAAATATCAGGTCATGAGTACAGGCCGTTAAGCTCATCATTACTCAATTTTCTCCATGGTCCATCTTCCTCCGTTTCAGGTCCAAATATCTACCACAATACTATATTCTCAAAGACTCTCAATCTATGTTTCTCCCTCAAAGTGAGAGACCAAGTTTTGTACCCATACAGGAGAACGGGCAAAATAACACTTTTTTAATCAAAATATTTTCATCTGAATGATAACAGGCATTCCCTGAATTTAATCTGATCTTGATTTTGTCATGAATGTCATTCTCATTTAGTTTTTCTTGTTGCTTAGGCAGTGCAGATAGGACAACATATTTCAACAGGGAAATTACTTTTCAGTCTAGTTTTTTATACAATAAAAATAACTGTAGCAACAAATGCATATTCTGCAAAATACCTCTCCACCGTCCCTCCACATTCGCTGATCTGGACTCTTGTAGAGGCTACGTTTCTTATTTCCACCATCAGCAAATTTCACGAGAAGTGGCTCCTTTGACCCGGCCAGGGAGCTCCCATTAAAAATTTGGATTATTTGCTCACACTTTTCTTTCGATTCCATCCTGCAAAAAATAAATGTTTCAAAAATATTCTGAGCTGATAAAATACCTGACTCCCTATGTTACAATGTATACCTCTTGTGCAGGAAGACAATCTACTTATTCTTTTCTTCTTCCTTCAAGATATGGATGCCAAACCCACATCCTGCCTGGTGCCAAATTTTTACCAGAAGTTTCTTACCGACGTGAAGTGGTGTCAGATGATCGACATGGTCTAGTTCCAACAGTAAGCTAATTAACTAAATGAGATACTTGCTGTCATGTATTTTAACACAGTTTTTTTAATTCTTGGTTTGCATGTAATTGTTTTGAGAGTTACGCAACTGACAGCTTCTTATGTCTGATTTGATGTATTGAGAATAACACTGCTCAATAAATGTTTTGTCACATAAGATGTTATAAATGATCTACATGTACTTATTCATACTGGTTACAAAAATAAAAAAACAGAATTTTTCCATAACACAAATTTTTAGTGAGAAACAAATTTGCAATAATTAAGATTTATATCAGAACAGGAATGTGAAGTGGTCTGCTGCATATTACTACACTGCTCTGCCATATTCCGCATGACACTACTTGCATCGCTGGTTTTAACTTTGTCAGACAACTTTCATGCTGACTTGTATTTGTTAGTTACTCACTTTATTTTCCTCAGTAAACCTTATGTATTTTATTCATGGCTTTTCTTAACTGTTAGTCATTTATAAATGTTTTATCCTTTCTACGTCTACATGTGCATACTGCTTCACTCCAGAAAGCTGCCTAAGTACGTCAACCATCCAAACAGTCTGTTATATGTGCAGAGAGTTAACTTTTAAATTTTAAAGATGAATGTTCCCCTTCTCAGCAAAAAATTATATAAATCTCATTTTGACTATAATACAGGTGATCATCACAAGACATGGGTACCCCATTTATGCTTCATTAAGCGTTTCAACAGTTTGACTCAATGGGCCTAGTAAAATGCCTTTCACTGTTCTGATGGATTAGACAGAGCCAAATTCTGCAGTCTGCCCACTGTTTTTCTTTGATGTTGGAACTGAATGTTTACATTACGATGCAGATGAACAATGGCTTCAAATAGTTCATTTCTTTCCACATCCTTCCTTCCTTCCTTATGCATAACTTTTTTCATAATCTGTTGTCCCCACCTTGGTAACTGCTTGGTTAGGATAACAGTTAACAATGGTCTATCAGGAACCGCAAAGGATATTTACTATCAACCGCTGAATTTTGCTTACGAAACATCACATATCATGCTCGTAACGTTCTTTTACATGCCGTAAATCTACAACATGGGACCGCCGACTCTAATTCCCCACTGAAGGAAGTTTTCCTACGGATTTTTATCAACCTTAAAAATCCATCGACCTCGGCCGGGATTGAACCCGCGAACCTTGGGTCCAGTGGCGAACACGCTAACCACTAGTTCACCGAGGGCGACACAGAGATGAGAGTACATGGATGTTAAACTGGTAAGGAATGGCAAGAAATCCGCCATTATTTCAAGATAGTGTATCAGCACTCACCTGGAAGGACAAAGAAAGAATTACATAATCCCCAGCCGAAAGTAAACAAATGCCTTCTGAATATGTGGACACAAATCCTCACCTTGCGAAGCCAACACCTTTACTTTGACCAGCCGTATCCCTTAGGATCCTTGTTGAGATAACCTGTCCATACTTTGCTAGCAAGCTGTCGACATCATTCTCCTTGAAGTTAAGTGGCAAGTTGGCAAGGTACAAGTTCGTTGGGTCCTGCTCTTGTTGCTGCCCAACACAAACAAATAGCAATTCATGTAAACTGACATGACAGTGATGAATTATGACAAACACACGGCTGCTGAGTTCACATAAAAATATAATTTCCAATATTTAACGAAGCCAGTAAATAAATGCACACAAAATCATTTAAAAATTGGGAAACAGGATTATTGAAATGTCCACCACCTTACAGTCTTACTTGTATTGTCCATCCAGTAGTTACAATAATAGATGTTCAACCCCTTCAGTGCCAATGACAAGTATACTTGTTGCACAAACATGTCTATTGTGCCAACCCTGAATACATGTATCTGTGACTCCTTCAGTTTTGTTCCATCATACAAACTCCAAATTCATTCGCACTATGCTTCATCAATATTTAAAATCAAGCGCCAGACTTTAACTTGATTGGATGAAAACAATAAACTTCATAATGTTAAAATCAAAAGAAACACATGAAATGTTGATACCAACATATTCAAAAGGAAACGGTTGGTGAGATTGAAAATGTGGTTCAGAAATATGGCAGTTACAGTTAAGAGCAGATACCTGATGGAGTTCAGATGTTATTCAATTTTAAGGTCTTCATAGCTTTGTCCAGTACATTGCTAATTGCAGATAAAAACGTCCTGAGTTCAATCTCAGATAAAAACCACCATCAACAATTTTGACACCGTTAAATTAAGAAAACTTACCATCAAGCATTCTTTATGTGCAATGACTTCATCGTTTACAATTCGTGGCCTGTTAATTGTGTTGAACTTGATCTTGAGCTTTCAAAAACGATCAGCTTGACAGGAAGCATATAGCTGTGTTACCAAGAAATCTAATGCTTATACATCATATATTTGCATGTAATAAGAGATATTTAGATGTTGCCAAAGTCATATCTACCGACTTGGACTTGCTTTCTTCTCTACCAAACTACAGGAAGCAGAAAGACACCACTTATTAAGCATCTCACAAGCGACAGTGGTACAGTCCGTGAAAAATGTCACACGGTCAGTATTCATACTAGAGGTATTATGATCCTCTCAGAACATATTTCCACCTTAGTGTCTTCCGTTTTATGCAAGTTAAAAAGAATATCAAAACAGTTCATAATAGTAGTTCAATGTATACAGCTTAGTGGCATTTAAATAGACCAGCAGAGAACCGTAGTGCTATTTAAAAGGGACCGCAATTGCTATTAAACTTAAAGTGATACCTATAGGACATCAACAGTGGTGTCTCAAACTTTCATCATCTGCCCTGTAAATATTAATTATTCATTATTTACTTCACTAATCACCAAACTCTTGTTAATAAACCTTTACTCCTGACATGTATACTACTCTTGTAATGAATGTCATCCATACAAATTGCAACTGATCTAAGCAATCACACCAACTTATCTACAAATGCCCAACAACCAATAACAAACTGGAAACAGGAAGCCAGTATCATATTCTTCGGAGGAGTGCCAGTATAAAAAGAAATGGCCGCCCAGACACATGGGGAGAGAGAGAGAGATGGTGAGACAAGAGCCAATGGCAGTCACAGATACACTGCACCAAGATGTGTACCAAAATAAGGCTTGTCACAACCCTTTCATTACCAGCACTGATTATACTCATTACTTCAACAGAGCGTACACTACTGAATTTGAAAATATTCGTTTTTAGTTTGGTGACCTTCACCGATGATATTACACAGTTCACAGATTCAGGAAACTCAAAAACAATTATTATATTTCTAAGATGGCTGTGTTATTTGTGCTCACTGCCACGAGAACCTGAAATCCTACCTAGTATACTTCTTCGAATTAAATTTAAAATAATCCAATTAAAATAACACTCGACAAGTTGATACAAACACATATAAAAACAAATAAATAACATCAGAAAAGGTTAACGACGTGTACTTTCGCCAGCGGAGGAAGCAGTGACTGCCCAAAAAATAAGGCACATCAGTTTTCACATGCAATGTGATATATTTTGTAATTTTTCTGCACTGATGATTAATCAGTTATTGGGGCATCTGTATGAACAACTGGACCAGAAGTATGCTACTCCAGCACGCCCAATAAAATAAAGTGTGGGGGGAAATAAAACTTGCCTTTCTCAGCTGCATCGTAACACTCTGCTTGCACACAAAACATTCACAAACAGTTAGTACCCTTGGAAAAGGCAACCCCAAATATACATGTAATACATGTGCAATAATGTAAATATATACTTTAGTCTCAACAGCTGCTGGATGTGACAAAATTCTTTTACGAACCATTAGCATTCTCTTCTCTCAATACTGCACAGTGCACATCTGCAAACCATTTCCATTCTTTACCTGCTATGACCTCAAATTACTTAACAAAGCAAAATAAATGGAAAATTTTAATCTTAATGGCACCAGAATAGCGGATTTAAACCCTCACTACGGTGCTGCTGCCAAGACTTTCGATTTAGCAGCATGCTACTGTAATGCATGGCCACCTGGACTGTACCAAAGTCATGATGACGCACAGGAAAGTAAAGCTGTCCCACTATACGCCATGTAGGCACTTGGGGGGGAGTGGAGGTATAGCTCCTACTCATTCTCGACCTCAGCACTAGATGGGGGTGAGTGGTCAGCATCACGCCCCTGGGAAAGGACCCCAGTACCCATTGGATAGGAGGCTGGGTGGGCCCCAGAGCCGGTCTGGACGCAGAGGCTAGAGGAAAAATCCTCTGCCCCCGTCGGAGATCGAACCCCGGTCACCCAGTCCGTAGCCAGTCACTATACCGACTGAGCTACGCCGGCTCACATGATGATGCACAGACAAAGGTTAAATTAGAAGGTACATGCATACAAACATACACATCTGTATGCCCAAATGCATACTCTCTCTTTTTCACGTCACAAAATCCTGGATGAGGAAAACTAATTCTTTCCAGTTTACAGATGACTATTTAAAAATCACACATAACAAAAGGAATGTGAATTTCCAGATTGGCATACAAGCTACAGCACTTATTTTAATGTACTTCAAATCCTACTAAGTGGAATAAAAGAGTCCAACGTGGCTGTTATGATAAATATTCTACAAACTACAGCAACTGCAATTACTACAATTAAACATATTTCAAAATTACAATCAAATAACCCATTACTAAAGCTACATTAGCATATCATCATCATTAGACAACAGCATCAGGAAGTCCACCAGGTAATCAATACTAATATAAAGGTAAAGTAGTACAAGTTGGGTAACATAACAAAAACACTTTTAATTCGTGGTTATGAGTCCCAAATGCAGATGTTATCATATCAGCAGAGACATCACACTTTGTAGTACTGATACAGAAAACAGCACATTGCTGTTTCAAGAAGACATGTTAACCGCGCACATTTCTCCTAAACAATGCGCGTGACTCGATTCAACCGAAAATGGGTGGCTGAATTGAGTAAGAAGCACGGGTGAAAACGGTCACTTTAACTTAAGGTACGTGCATCATATATCTCAGTATAAAAACTTATAACATTTGAATATATATGAAGAGAATAAACATGTCTGATTTAACGTAACACAGATTAAAATCTGCCACCTTCACACTTCAAATCCCAACACAATTTTTATTGTACTACACTTTACCCTTTCCCTGGCATTAAATTCAGCAAAAACTCTGGTGGCTTAATAATTACAGGGAGCCCAGTTTCATCAGCATTTTAAACATTAACTGGTTCGTTATGCAAGTTCTGTACAGAGCAGGCCAAAATGGTTTTCAAGGCAGTGAGGACGATTTCATTCTGGGTTTTGGCACTATATCGACCGTCTCCACCTAGAGTCCTGAAGAAGGAGACAGTATGATTCTCCAAAACACTGGTATCTACCCAAATCTTCATCATAATTAAAATACTCTGACATCAGAGCTAAGCTCAGTCCTCTGTAATGCTCAAACAACAAACTTTCAGGTTTTCAAAGAATAGTTCCAAGTGTCATTCTTCAAAAACCAATTAAAACATTTTTCAGCCGTTTTCAGGATGAAAATTTATGCTCCACATTATTTGTCGTAGCAAATATATAAACATTTAGCCTGGCATCTGCCCATAAGCTGTCTTTCCTGTTTGCATGGAAAATATTGGACCTCCACCCACATTTATTCAAACATTCAATAATTTTAATTCCTTGAATTACTTTCTGCAGGAAAGAAAACAGCAAAATTGAATGCACTATCCGCCTGGCAAAAATGTTCTCTTTAACAGCCTTTACGGCCTCTTGAATGGCATTTTGAGTCCACTTTGGCTTCGTCTTCTACATATTTGGCCATTTTCCTATACGGATACAGATTCACTTTTCAAGTAACTAGACACTAATAAATAAACTACATATTACCACAATTTAAAAATAAGATCCAGTGCATTTTAATGAGTACTTGCTTTATAAACAATACATGTTCTCCTTCTGTCGTACGCACAATGGCTTCAACTGCACATTTCTGTTCCAACATGGCACAGGACCCTTCACTACTTAACATAAGTGGCAGCACCGGTAACAAATTTTTGGATGTCTGCCATCTATAGGTAATTTTGTTTAAATGATCCTTTTTGCCATCTGACCCGATTTGTACTACTTTACCCTGAAGATAGAGGTTTCAAAACAAAACAGAAATGGGTAAACTGACTGCAGAAAGAAGTGCAGATTACAGAAAGGGCTCCTGTTCAAGTTACGTTCCAGGGTGGTTTGCAACCCGCACGTTCTCTCTCAACCTGGCCTGTTAAAGTAAGGCATGTTACATTAGTCCAGATCACGGTCTGGGTTCTGACAGTCTTGTAAGTGGTTACAAACAATGAAGTGAAACATGTTGCCTCCACCTTCCACCTTATAGACTGAGGCAGCAAGTTTCTCTGAAATGACCATAACCACTGACAATCCTACCTTGTGTCAGAAACCAGAAGACCATGATCTAATCTCTCACTGCTGTGATAACCTTAAATATCTCACATGTTAGTTTGGGTTAGGCCAAGTCAGGTTATGGGAAACTGCAGAAATCTGCAACTTTACATGCTTTTGTACCTTCACTAAAGTGTGTGCAGAGAGCACGCATAACTCAGAAGTATTACATTAAGAGACCAAATTATGCTCAAAACACATGAGCCACAAACAATATTGAGGGAGATTTCAGGTTCTCGTGGTGATGAGTATGAAGATGGCTGCCTTCACAGATGCAGCCTTGTAGATAGCAACCAACATTTCAGAGAAGCTGACTGCTGCCATACTCAGAGCAACGAGACAACAGAGGCAAGGACCTCCGAAACGCAGTGTAACATCCCAATAGCCCTCAAGATGGAGACAGCATGTTTCTCTGAAACGCTGGTATCTGACTACAAGTCCAAGCGTTACTACCCAACTTCCCAGAAGACCAATACCGACATCCTCACCACTGTGAGAACCTCAAATCTCAAATTTGAATGTAACTTTTCTTCCAACGCAAGACATAATGCAGTTTCACTAATGAATATGTACTTTAAGTGGAATAACTTAGAGTACATAAACAGAAATTTTGTATATTTTAGTAACTTCATAACATTCTAAATTCTCATAAATTGATTATACGTGCATGTTGGCTGGCATAGAATATGAACCATTGGGGTGTCTGCACATCATGGGACATTTTAAAACTTCCCTCATGGTGCATTGTATTTAACAAAAACTAGAAAATACAGTGGCTCCTGGGGTCAGCAATGCACATATTTGAGGCAGCAATGAACCCAATGTACCGAGATGGAAAGTGAACACTGTACCTTCACTGGCCTCAAATGTGTTCCACTGGCAGGTTTATATGCGCTGCTTACATACATCAATTCTGTAGCAAAACAACACATTCCTGACTCTAAAAGGCACATCACATCCCCCCACCTCCAAACCAAAGTGCTTACTCAACGTGGTGACTTCAATGCTTGTGATGTACAGTGCAAGCAAGGGGACAGAAAACAGTCAATCGAGGCTAGACAGTTCCGTTGTATTTATAGTTCCTGTATGCTTACAATTCATTCGGTTCCTTCACTTCATGTAACACACGCCAGATACTAAAGTGAACGTAACAAATGAACAAGACAGCAGAGCTGTCCAGTCACTTAGTGGCAGACAAACTGGCTTGATAACCACACACACCATAAAAAAGAGGACCCAAGTCCTTTAGGCATTTTCATGCTATTTAATGCTTACTGCTGCAATTCACAGCTATATGGCATAAACCAGTGCTTGCAGAGAATACCATTTCTATTCCACACTTCCTAGACTTCATCGACAACAAGACTTAGAATTTTACGTTTTCATGGCAGCAAGTCTAAAAACGGCCGTCTTCTGGGTCGTTGCGCCGTGTCGTCTGGTGGAAGTTCAATGACATTTCAGAGGTCCTTGCTGCGACTATCATCAGGGCAATGACTCAGCTAGTCAATAAACCTAAAGAATTTTTAAGAAGTTCACAAGAAACAGCCAATGGCTCCATATGTTCCTGAGCCAGATGAATCCATTCAAAACCCTCCTATCCAATTTCCTGAAGATTCACTTTAATGTTATCCTCCCACCCATTTATGCTTAGGTCTCCTCAGGCTCTCCAACCAAAATTTTGTTATGCACTGTCACATCCCCCATTCACGTAACATGTCATCTCATCTTCCTAGAAACTTACAACACAACCTAACCTAACCTAACATCTTGAGAAGAGTATGAAGAGTGATGCTTCTCAATGTACAATTTTGTCCAGTGCCCTGTCACTTCATTGATTTGACATCCAAATGTTGTTCTTGCCACCTTGATCCCAAACATCATCCATATCGACCCCGTCATGTGAGATTCCAAGTTTGATGCCATATAAAAACCACAGGTTAAATTAATAGCCTTGTATATTTTCATCCATACATTATTAGACAGCAGATGGGAAGAAAAAAGATTCTGTGCTGCAGTAAACCAAAGCATTCCCCATATTTAATCTGCTAATATCACAACAGAAATGATTTAAGCATTTCTCTATAAATAACCACTGCATTTTCTTTCAACAAACTGAAAAATATTCATATAATGTTTTTTAAAAATTTCCTTGCATGTCAAAGGGTTTATATTTATGCCAGACGGTTCAACACAACGTTAATATACTAACTTGCTCATGTAGTTAAAGTTACTTCCAACAAATAAAACATGCAAAACATATTCTCTATAACACAGACTTTCATAAGGGTTAGAACAAGGTTATGGAGTATAGGTATACTATTGTACTCTCCCTGCGGCAAGCAGTATTGCTCATCATGCAACATAACGTACACTGGGCAGTCTACGCAGCAACGAGATACCCACTTTCGCCATCTGCGCCTGAACTCCCTTCGCCTGCAGGGCTTTGACTGCCGACTCGGCCGATGCTGGAGTCTCAAAGTCAACAAACCCGTAACCTACAATAAAAACAAAGCACAATAAAAAAAACATGTAACAAACAACAAAGTTCACGCAACCAAATATGAGCTACAATTTGAGGGAGTGGAGGTGTAGACATACCAAATTAAAAACAAAATGTCCAACTCCAGTAAGCCTGTATGTCAAACCACATCACATAACCATTCACACACAAAATTCTTTTTCAAAGCATGATTAACATTTGGGGAAAAAAAGTATAACACAAACACACTGACAAAACCAAAATACAAAGACGCTGAAAATTTCTCCTATTCTGACTACATGCTACAGGATACAATTCCAAATTTCTAGAAGTACACTGCCTCATCAGATTTTAAATGTATTACAAAATGATTTCAACTTTTATCTTTCAAACATTTGTTTGGAATTCTCTCTAAATCTTATTTAAAGATATACATGTGGCACAAATAAAAATTCAAATTAGATATAAATACATACGGACAAAGAAACTGACTGTAGTAATTATCGAGGCATATCACTGTTATCGACTTCATACAAAATTCTATCCAACAATCTTCTCCCAAGGTGGAGTCCGTACGTAGACAAAATTATTGTGGACCATCGGCATGGGTTTCGAAGTAACAGGTCAATTACTGATCAGATGTTTTGTATTCATCAGATACCAGAGAAGAGATGGGAGTACAAGACAGTACATCAACCATTCATACTTCAAGAAAAGCGCATGATTCAGTTAGAAGGGAAGTACTAGTTAGGCTTATTAACATGTGTTTAAACGAACCTAGAGTAAAGTCCACATGGGTAAACATTTGTCTGACATGTTTTCTGTTGAAAATGGGAGATGCTTTAACACCATTTCCTTTCAACTTTGCTTTAGAATAAGCCATTAGGAAGGTCCAAGAAAACCAGGTCGGACTGAAATTGAATGGGACACATCAGCTTCTCGTTTATGCTGATGAAGCAAACCAATTGGAAGATAACATAAATACCATAAAGAAAATCACAGAAGCTCTAACTGGTGTTAGTAAGGAGGTTGACCTAGAAGTGAATACAAAGAAAACTAATTATATGTTGACGACTCGTCACCAGAAATTAAATCCGTGGCGTAAGAGCTCCAGAGAGCCATAGCCGACTAGCTTGACTGCTGGCCTCACGTTCACATGCCTAAGCAGAGGTGAACGATCATCCGACCAGATATAGTGTGGCGTGTGGTCAGCACGACGAACCCCCAGCCATTGCTAGCTTTCCTGACCGGATTACGCTACTCATTGTAGCACCCCAATTTCCTCACAATGCTGGGTTGGCACTGGTCCCATACACCGGTCAAAAATCTCATGAGAAATTTCTTCCCCTGAGACTCAAACCAGCGTGCATTCCATAACATAAAGACAGCTAATGGATCCTTTGAAAATGCGGCGAAGTTCAGATATTTGGGAGCAACAGTAACAAATCAAAATTCGATTCACGAGGAAATTAAGAGCAGATTAAATTCGGGTAATGCTTGCTACCACTCAGCTCATAACCTTTTGTCCTCTCATCTGCTGCCTACAAATGTAAAGATTAATAAATATAAATATATAGCATGTAGTTTTGTATGGGTATGAGTGTGAAACTTAGTCTTGGGGATCAGAGACTAGGGATGTTTGAGAACAGGGTGCTGAAGAGAAAATTTGGACCCAAGAGGGTGGAGAAAGCTTCACAGTAAGGGAGGAACTTCATCAGTTGTACTCCTCGCGAAACATAATTAGACTGAAATAATTATTATATTTGTTTACCGTCAAATCACAATAAAATAGTAAGATAAGATAATTAAAATGATTAAAATATCATCTTATGTTCCATATCGAGCATTCGATTTACATCGGAACATTCACAACATGTTTCGGTTTATCAAACCGTCATCAGGTGTAAATTATAAAATTTTAAACTCAAATTACAATTATTTATAGTTTTTACAATTTTATAATTTTATCATCTTTCTCAGTATATTTTAGGAAGTTGTGTCTAGATATTATTAATATAACATTATTGTTGAGGTGGTGTTATTGATGTAAATCGAATGCTCGATATGGAACATAAGATGATATTTTAATCATTTTAATTATCTTATCTTACTATTTTATTGTGATTTGACGGTAAACAAATATAATAATTATTTTAATTAATATCACAATATGACGCAACTATACTATCTCATAATTAGACTGATCAAGTCAAGGAGGATAAGATGGGCAGGGAATGTAGACCACATGAAGAGAAGAGGAATGCATAAAGGGTTTTGGTGGACAAACAAAAGAGAAAGAGACCCCTACAAAGACCTAGACACAGGTGGGAGAATAATATTAAAATGGAGCTCACAGAAACAGGATGAAGAAAGGACTCAGCTCCATGGTGTAAGAAAGTACAAATTAGTCTCACTTCAGAGTAGACTACTGTTTACAAGGGTGAAATGGTAAAGAGCAGAAAGCAGACTCCAAAGAGAGAACAAAGTTTTTTTTTTTTCCTCACTGGCATCAATATTCATGTATTGCAGATGAAAACCTATTACTGTAAAGCTAATGAACGGTAGGGACGCAAGGCCTCTATCTATAAAAACACAGAAAGACGCGGACAAACATCCATGCCTCGAGTGTGACTTAAACCCACGGTCCCAGCAGCTAGGCGCACAAGGTTCATGCCTCAGACCGCGTTGCCACTGCGGCCGGCGAATAATTAAGGAACACTTTTATTTCAAAACAGTATCTTCTGAGAGCAGTCGATCACATGGATGGGAAAGACGTATTAAGCCAGATATTGTTTCGTAAATTATCCTGGCTGGCAAGCAAAACATGTGAAAGCTTTAACTCCTAATTCTAAAGAAAACTCATCCCATTATTACATATTTTTTTAAGATTAGCTTATTTTCACAACTCCACGCTATGATAACATTTCAAAGTTATGGCACATCCACTACATCACAGTCTTCCTTGAGCACTTTTATTCTTAATTCAGTTCATTGAAAATTATTTCATGTTAACAGTCATATAAGCCAATCTGTAAGATCGTTCTGACTCAATCATTATGTAAACGGGACAGAGCCTTATTTTGTGATGCCCTTAGACAGAGTCCTTAAAATTTTGCGATCTTCCATGCAGTCTCCTACACCAACTTGTAAATTGGTCTTCCAACACAGTATGATTCTACATACAGTGTAAGACTGTAATCTTGAGACTTGCAGGGTGAGGAAGTGGGGTGAAGGAGGGAAGAAAGATAGCATCAGCCTTCAACACTTCAGACTTCCTGCATTCCTTGCAAGTCTCAAGATTACTTTAGCAATTGACATTCTGGCTACAAAGATTATTATTATTGACTAACTAGATGGCTTCCCGACCCCGAAGGTTCATCACCGAATTAACCAAAGCCCTACACCGGACCAACAAAATCCAGTCTCCTTCAACTCCTATCTCCCATAGATCCCGCCTGAGATTATCCTCCCATCTACATCTAGGTCTCCCCAGCGGTCTCTTCCCCTCAGGCTTCCCAACCAACACCCGGTGCACACCTCTTGTCCCATCCATGCACGCTACGTGCCCCGCCCATCTCATTCTTCTCGACTTAATAGATTATTATAAATATAAGTAAATTTAAAAGAAATATTAAAAACATACCTTTACATCTATTCGTGTTCTTGTCTAATATTGCCTTCGTCGATATGATGTTTCCATACCTATAAGCAACATCAAACAATAAAAAAGCATTAACCCACACATTATGAACAACTCTTTTTTTTTCATATCACATACAAATATTAACAATTAATCAAATGCTAATATATTCATAACTATTAAAATGATTAATTGTAATATGACTAAGTCAACAAAATGTACCTGCACCGAAAACATGTTGCATTTGAACAATATGGCAGTGAAGAGATAAGCGGTCCACCCTATTAATTCCTGACGTTACTCCCTCATGTAGGATGAAGCATGTCCCTAAGTGGTGATCAGCAAGAATGTATAACTGTAGGCTAATGCCACCCTTGTACATCTTCCTGCATTCTCAATATAATCTAATTTATATTTTGCTACTTCTTTCGATACAATTTTCAAAGAACCTGACCTATATGAGAATCCTGATATCCAAGTTTCCAAACATCACGTCCATTTTCCATTGCTTAGGTCATTCCAAATAATCTTTCCAATTCTCACACCCAGAGTAACAATTATTCTTTATCAGGGGGATCAACCACACCAAGTTTGAGGACCACCTGTCCATTACCACTCCTGCAATATATTCTTAGCTCCTCCCCACCCCCCTCAATACCCGGAGGTCTTAACCTCAGCCTATGTGGTGCGTGCAATGAAAATTAATTTTACACCCTTCGGAAATAACATATTAAAATTATAATACTTAAAATTATTACGTGTGTCAATTCTTGCAGTAGGTATTATTAACTTTTTACCGGTGAAACCTAATTTTTTAAAATTTCCCCATGATTCAAAGTTTCCAAGAATTTTACATCCCTAAGATCAAAAAACTGTAAAGTCTAGTTTTCTTCACCTCAGCCCTTATTTTAAAAACGTACAACACAATGACCCAGAGACGAGTATTTTGTTTCACGATGTATGACTCATTTGCAACAACTTTACATTGCATCACGCACTGTAGTGTTCCTTCCCCATGAACGATAAAAATCTATCCTGACCGGGCCATGCAGTCTCTCGGCACTAGATAGGGAGGGAGCGGTCGGCGTCACACATCCCATTCGCGCTTCACGCCCAGAGAAGAACGAGTGACCAGAAGGTAAGCTAGCCGTGTACTCACATTGAACACATTTGAACCAGGTCCTTGTCCGTAGTGTTCTGGTTCAGGCCACGTATATACAAATTAGTTTTTGATAGCTGCTCTCCAGCCGGACCAGACCCCATATTGTTACTGAGACTGGTGCTCAACGTTCCGCTCTGGGAGCCTGTGTTGGAACTTGAACTACTGTTGGTGTTAGAGGGTGAAGCTGCTGTAGGAACACGCTGAGATCCATACTGCAAACACAATGAACAGACAACATTTGTGATTCGTCATTAGCTGTTTATCCTAAAACAAAATATTTACACATCATACACTGTGAGACTTTCTTATTCCATTGAAAGAAAAAAACATTTTAACAGTAATTTTCCATGTTTTTCTAACGTAAATTCAAATTAAACTATATGAAACGTATTATTGGTCTACTTGGTTTCGTTTACACTTAAAAACGTAACGAGTTAACACTGTGGTCACATTCCTGGAAAACACAATATTAAGTGAACAGATATTTCCTTGAAAATTAATTGAATAAGTAGGGTTACGTTTTGCCACTCCTGTACTCCATAAACAAACAATTAATAAATGAAAAATATAAAACAGTTTAATCGGGGGGGTCCTGAATAATTAAGTAAAGGAAATTTATAAAATTAATGATACAACAGTTAATTCATTTAATTTTTGCCCTGTGAATGTGATGTGCCATGACAGACTTTGGTGCGGCGTGTTCATTGTCGTTACTGCCATCCTGAACCGCAAAATAGTTTAATGCAGATAGTAGTAGCTCTTGTAAGCAGTGATCACTCCGTGGACCACACCTCAGAGTAAAGAAGCTGTCATTAGCAGCGAACAATGAGATTAACAGAACGACTGTGGAATTTGGTGTTTTAAAAATAATTTAAATCATAACAATTGAAAATCTGACGATTATGATAGATAATGTGGTTGGGTTATTTCAGGCTTGGTTTTGTGTGTTCGGGTTAGGCTACGTTCGGAGAAATTAATTCAACAATCACCTGAAATAAATACCTAAAGACACAGTTGAGTCGATCTTTAATTAAACCCCGTAAACCCAGCATAAGAGTCTCACGTCTCGTTTTACCCAAGAGCAGAAGAAGAGACGGTTACTTTGAATAATGCCTGTTAAGATAGGTTATGTGAGATTAAGACACGCAAGTTTTATTTATGTTAAATTAGAACAGGATAAGTTTGTTTAGTTTTGATCAGGAAAGTAATGATAAGTTAGATGAGACATTAAGTTTTTAATTTAGGTTTTGCTTGGCCAGGTTGGGATAGTTGAGGTTGCAAGAAGTTACGTTACATAAGATTAGGTTAGTTTTGGTTAGATTAGTTTTGAATATGTCAGAATTGATACCGTTTCAAAATGTGTTACAAAAGTTATTTCACGGAACAAGGCGGAATAAATATCTCAAAATGCAAGTTTCAAGAAGATAAAAGAAAATGAGAGGGTATTCTGTGTTCTAATATTGAATATTACTTTGCAGGCTCTTTTATTGGAAGTTATGATACGTTGCAAACAACGCATGAGTATACTAGTCTGGTAGAAAACACGTCCCAACAACCCAGAAGACAGCCATCTTCAGATTACACTTTCCTGACTTCTTTTGTTTCAGTTTATGTTACGTTCGATGAGGCAAACTAGAGGTAATTTAGTATGGTTGCCATGGTAACCATCTACAGGAAAGGAAGAAACGTGGATTTGTGATTTTTAGATGCTAACGTCACAAAATCTTTTCGTAGGTACGGTCTGGACAGGCTGGGTTTTGTTTAGTCACATTATATCAGATTGAAGGAGGTTATTTTAGGTTAGGACACGCTGGGTTAGTTTTCTTTCATTTTCCGTGTTGAAATTTCGGCTAGGTTACGATAAATGTTGAGATTTGAAGTTCGAATCTATGAATTTCAAAAACGTGAATCCTTTATTTTAGGATCCTGACAAATCTGTAGTTTTCAAATGAGCGAGAAATCCATTTCACGTGTCAATGAGGATTATTTCTAAATGCGGGCTGCAAAAATACATGTGAAGAAGATACTGTGTTTTCCGCCACGGAATAGACTTCCGTGTGAATCCTGCCTAAGGCATCTGCAGAGTGGCAAGGACATTGCACAGTGGACCAGACAGCAAATGAAGGGGGTCTTTCCTAGCGCTAAATAACGTCACATAAATCTGGACAAGTGATAACTTTTGAGACTTAACGATAAACGAATCTTTGCGTCCACGATGACAAGAAAATATGTACAGAGCGAAGCTCCAAGAATTTTCCGAGCGTCTGGGAAGAATCGTAGTGAAGTTGCTGGAAAAGAATAACTTGTGGTGCATGCTTCGAAAAGTCTTGCATGGGCGAAAAATTACCAATACGAGCGAACAATAAATTCGTATCTCTGCAGAAAAGTTCCGCAAAGACGGCAAACTATTTATTTATTAATTTTCCTGTCTAGCAAATGTTTGTGCACCGACTGAAATGGCACTGTAAAAACTCTAATGCTGGTGCTAACAAAACACACTGGATTTGAAACTTCGGTTTCAAGATCTGACGTGTACGTGTATCTATCCGCGACGGACAACATACTGAATGTTTCTGCAGCTGTCTGCCATACAAATGCAGATTTTTGTTTCAAAACATGGGATTTCTTAAGAAAGCATCAACGAATCGACGCAAATTAATTAAAAATGTCTCATGTATCGCCAATCTGATGCATGGAATCAGTAAATGTGATTCTTAACATTTGTCAGAATCCTCATTTTTTGGTAAGCAAAATTCGAACAGTACTCACACAACGATCCTGTTCAAAACTTCGTGGCAGAGTAAAAGAACGGGACGATTCCATGGCGCTGATAAAGGATTTCGTCGGCGAAGTCAATATACGATTTTGAAAAGCAGCAGACACATTCAAATTAGCGAGTTTAAACACTGGCGAGTCATATCTCTCTACATCACTGGCTGTTATCAACCAGTAACTTGTGCAAGTAACACGAAGCTGCATTTACTATCAACTTGCGTGGGCAGGCACCTTACATCCTGGCCTGGGATGACGATGGTGCCAAAGGCACGCACTGACCCGTCAACGATTTGTTCGGAATGTCACGTGGTTTACGGGTGGGGCAGAATGGTAAATGTTTGACCTTAGTTCCTTACAGACCGAGATGTGCTGTACTTCTTAGGAGGAAACCACGTTATAATACCACCGCGGACAGGAATACCTCTTGATATTGTAACCGTCCATTTACACGATTACTGACTGAGAGTAGTCGATTTTCTATTTGGAGCATATCGTTCCAATTTCATGAGTGACTATTGTTACAACTCCTTTAAAACCAAAATGACTAGGTCAGTAATGAAAAGACCGTCTGCCAAAGGAAGGCCTAAAGTTAATAATTACGAACACGCGCTAGTCGGGCTGACCTTCATTTTGCTTGCACAGAATCCCACAGAAAAATTAGCAACAAGACCCACAGTAACACGGGCAGGATCAAGTCCACCATCGCTGTCAGTTCCAGTCTCAACCAGCTACAATCACCCCGAGTCTCAGTCTCAAATTGGCCACGACCACTTCCACTCGCGTGTCCCTTACGATCGCCGTATCGTACCTCATTCGGCGATTCGTATTCGAAAAGGAAACGTGTCGCCTTAAGTGGCTTGGGGAAGATTAAGATTCCGACGGAAATATTCTTTTGACACAATAAATTTGAGGCATCGCCATATCAGCAAATATGACGCAAATATTGTATATGACCGCTTGACAGACGGTCAGTTTTGCATTAAACCAGATGACAAGTGTATTTTAAACACAAAGCTCGAAAATGCATCACAATTCCCTCCACGAACTTTGCACGAATCTAAAATACGTAAGAACAGCATCAAAGTAGAAATGGCAAACTGAACTCGCAAAAAATGTACTTCCTGAAGATTTCCCGCTTCTGTTTCTCGTCTGGTCCATCCCTTACCAACGCCGAAACACGTGCCAGGCGACACTTGTCCTGTCAAGGTCATTTCTCGACAACAGTGTTCCAAGTTCAAATCAGAATGTGCCCAAGTATCTTGCAACACTCGAAATGTGAGTCCAGAAAACGAATTTTTAAAAGTAATTTGCAACCCATGGTTTTGTAGGCACGGAAAATAACTTCGACAGATTCATTCAAAATTTAATACCTCGCAGTTTAGGTGTAAATATATGGTCGTGGTTTGACACTCTTTTCTGTTTCATCTTTAATTGAAATCTCATCAAACGCGCTGTCACGATGTATCCAATTAATAAGAAGACAGATATTCCTCTCTTGCTTATGGTATCGCTGATCCACGGACATGCGTGTTTCAAGCAGGGAAACTCGCTGTTACCTTAATCCATAGCGTTAACGTACTTACCCACAGTCCGGAATGAAACTACGCAGAAACAAAATGGCTGCAAAGAATGCGACATTTCAGCGACACGGCCAGAACGCACGCACCGGCGCCATATTACCGCGAGCGGCTGCTGCAAGTCGATAATACTTTGACAGTCGCACAGCTACTCAAGAAATTTTCCGTCGTTTAAGAAATCCGAAGGCGCTTTGCCATGTATACAAAAGCCCGATCGCAATCACATGTTCGGTCGCTGTGGTTAATAAAACTGGATAAAAAGCCACGAACTACAACCGCATTCAGTAGCATTAGCGGCCCACAAACGCCTGCCAAATTCACTCTCGACTCTTTGCATTTCACCGGAGGAGGGACTTTCATGAAACACGATATGTTCATTTCGTACATTACGTAATACCGGCGCGACAATTGCTTCACGTCGTGAGTCGGGAAAGATGATCTTCCGTGATGACGTCATTGCCCACAATCCTTTGCGACAACCTAATGACGTCATCGTCAGCGCGTATACAGTAATTCGAGATTAGCTGGATGGATTTTCATGAAATTTGGTGCGGATGTTGTGCCACTGGTGGTTACTCCAAACCCAAAAATACATGTTTAATCGGCTATGCTCAAATTTGGGAGGATGACCTTTCGCGAGCGAGATAGTCATCGACCGTGATGACGTCACTGCATACATAGCAACAATTAAGAAATAAATAACCAAGTATTCGTAATGGTCAATACTAGTTACTTTTTCCATTTTTTCCACAGGCTTGTATGTTTGATTCGGTGATATGAAAGCATTTCATTAAATAGTTGCACATGGGTGTTAAAAAATATTTACCAATTAAGTAAATGAGTGCGTGGATTTGTTAATT